GTGTTCAGACGACTGACTCACACAGACACCAAATCTCTTACACTAAAATGGAAATATTTTTTATCATTCAGCCTCTTATTTTGTAAACTACTACTAAGGCTTTTATGCAGCAGAGAAAGGGATAACCTTATTAGGACTGACCCCTCAAATTCTTAAGATGTACTGGCTTCCTAAGATGTTCCACTTAAGGGTTTCTGAGGAAATCAATGTCAACAATTAGCCTGTGATGCCAAACCAGACCCAAAAGAAATGCAAATAAATAAGTAGTTACAGCTAACAAGCTTGCCCTTCATGCCAGGATTCCTTTGTAGACTTTTTGGCAAAAGAAAAAGATTACCTAATCTTATAATCATTATTTACAATTATACCTTAACTTCTAATATTTCCGTAAGCGTATTTTATTTACTAACATCTTTCAGTTACATGAGTGTTAATAGGAAGGGACATAGGGACAGGGAAAAAAACAGCAAAAAAACAAAGCTTTTAAAAAGTACAAAATCAGGATAGTTATATGTTTTATAACTGGTTGAATTAAAGATTGGGGGTCAGAGAAGGTAGCCCCCCTTGCTTCTCTGTCTAGGAGGCTCGAAGCCACACAACCAAGTCAACAAGAGGTGCTAGGAACAGAATCTAGAATGTTTCACTGTATCAGGCAATCTCCAAATCAAATATCCAAAACAGGGGATTAAGACAAAGCAGTATATACTGAAAATGCAAGGAAAGATTTTTCTGCAGTTAGAAGAAAAACAAGCTGGCTAATCGCAGCACAAACATAGAAGTCAGCAGTGATAAAAAGAACCCCTTCTTACAAAAGATTTAAATTGAAGGCAAATTCTACAACTGTGGCGATCTCTATTAAGACTGAACAGAGGCTGATTTTAAATGTAGATGGTATTGGAAAGGAGGCCTTCTAGTAACTACAAAGATGCTGGCAATTAGCAGAAACTTAATAATACCCTTTCTGGGAGCCTGTTTAGAAGGCTGGGTAAGATCTCCAGGAAACCATTTAATAAACAAATACAGAAGCCTGGCCAAAGGATGCTTCAACAGCATACCAAATAAGCAAACTCCAGGCATTTGGTTGTAAGTTTTTTAGTACAATATTTCACAAACTAATCAGCTGTCAGAAGTGTGAGGTAACTGTAACTTGAACTCATCACAGGTGATGAACTGAATCAACTGAATTCTACAGACAAGATCCTACCCTTCCTTATAACTTTTGGTTCTTCTTTCTTCATTTACCATATTTCAGAATCTCTAAGCAATGAAATTTTTCTTTTTTGAAAGAGTCTCATTTTGCCATCCTTGGTAGAGTGCCATGGCATCAGTTCACTGCAACCTCAAACTCTTGGGCTTAAGTGATTCTCTTGCTTCAGTCTCCCAAGTAGTTGGGACTACAGGCACCTGTGACAATGCCTGGCTATTTTTCAAGACAAAGGATTGCTCTGGCTCAGGCTGTCTTGAACCCATGAGCTCAGGCAATTCACCCACCTTGGCCTCCCAAGTGCTAGTAGGATTATAGGCATGAGCCACGGTACCTGGCCATAAACAATGCAGTTTTAACTTTTAATGTTTCTGAACTTGAAATACATGGAATCAGACTGTTAGAAAAGAAAATCTTTTCCATTTATAACATGTTGCTAAATGAACACTGCCTGTAGCTTTAAGTTATTCCTTTTCACCATAAGTTTTTGTCTACTGACAGACTTTTAGACTGTTCTCAGTTTTCTGCCAATTTTTTTGTTGTTGTTGTGTTGTTGCAGTTTGGCAGGGTTGGGTTTGAACCCACCACCCTCGGTATATGGGGCCCATGCGCTACTCACTGAGCCACAGGTGCCGCCCCTCTGCTATTTTTTTTTTTATTATTTCAGATTAATTGAGGGTACAAAGAATTAGGTTACAATGTTTACACTTGTTAGGCGAAGTCCCACTTGTAATTGTGTCCCTCCCCCAAGAGGTATGCCATACACTCTAACATTGTGCCCATTAAGTGGAGCACACTCACCACCCTCCCCTATTCTCCTCCCCTCTACCTTGAATTGATTTGAGTTTTTCTCTTATGTGTCTTAGATTGTCTACTTGCTTCATATTAGAATTAAGTACACTGGATTCTTGCTTCTACGTTCTTGTGATACTTTATGAAGAAGAATGTGTTCTAACTCCGTCCAAGTTCATACAAAAGATGTAAAGTCTCTATCTTTTTTAATGGCTGAATACATCTACCATAGCTTGTTAATCCATTCCTGGGTTGGTGGGCATTTTAGTTGTTTCAATATTTTGGCGATTATAAATTTAGCTGCAATATTTCTGCTATTATTGACAACGATGCTAGATCACTCTTGTACCTATCTCTTGGTTTATAGACATGCAAGACTTTCCCTAGTCTATAGTAAATGCCTAGAAGTGGGATTGTTGGGGCATACTATACGTTGATATTTAACTTTATCTAGTAATATCAAATTGTTTTCCAAAGTGGCTATATCTATTTACATTCCTTTCAAGTAGTATTAAGTACTCAAGCAGTACTAAGCCTTCTGGTTTATCCTACAGCATATCCACCAAACTCTCCTTAGTAGGAAGAGCCTCAGAAAAAAAGCTGGGCTGATAAATGATTGAATAATTTGCTTGGTTTTGTTTTTAGCTCCCACCTTGTCCCACTTTTTTTTTTTTTTTTTTTTTTAATGGGACAAGGTCTCATTATGTTACCTGAACTAGAGTGCGGTGGCATCATCATAGCTCACTGTGACCTCAAACTCCTGGGCTCAAGTGATCCTCCTGCTTCAGCCTCCTGAGTAGCTGGGATTATAGGCATAAGCCATCATGCCCAGCTTTAATAGGATTCTTTAAAGAGAAAAACACATATAATACCTACTTACCAAGCAAAGGTACTTTATTTTGCAGCAACTCACAGTAGCTTGTGGTAAGAATTCCAATGGGATTACTTGGTACGAACCGTCCTTCTTTTACTAAACGTTCACATGTTCGCATTAAAGTCCCTGAGAACTGAGATGGATCAACTCCATAGTCTCTCCATCCTCCTACACCATCTGCAACCCCTAAAAATAAAAATAATAATGATAATAATATTACATTTAAAGAACAGTCTTGACCAACTTCTCAGGAATTCCCAACCCTGTCTCCTAACAGTTAATTTCCACTATATGCTAGGACATACATTTATCCCAAAATTCATAATAAAAAGTGCTCAGGCTTAATATATTATATGCTAATATTCCTAGGTGAAATTCTCTACTTAGAATCTGGTCTTTCATATACTTTAGAGCTACCACAGGGTGGCATTGCCTACCAGCCAAGAGTTCAATTTCAGCTGAATTATCATCTTTGTATAAAAGTATGTGAGTTATTAATGCTTTGTTGTATTTATAAGAATGAAAATTGATTTTTTAAAAAAGTGCTGATGCTAGTGATAATACCAGTGAGTCAGAGTTGGCAATCATTAAGAACAGCAAAAGCAGCAATATTTTAATTCCAAACATTGTCAACAAGTGTAAAATGAAGAACAAAATTAAGAACACATTCTACCCCCTTTTCCTCCTAAGAGATAACCACTATCCTGAACAGACTGGTGCTATTTAACAATAGCTGTCACCACATATGACTATTGAATACTTCAAAAGGGGCTGGTCTAAACTGAAATGAGCTGTAAGTATAAATAAAACACACTGAATTTTGAAAATTTAGTACAAACAAAATAAGTAAAATTTCTCATTAATTTATATATTGATTACATAGAGAAATAATAGTATGGATATATTATGCCACATAATGAACTGAAGAGACCATATTACTAAAATTTATTTCACCTTTCTGTTTTATTCAATGTGAATACCAGGAAATTTTAAATTGCATATGAGGCTCAGATTCTATTTCTGTTGGATATCACTAGTATAGAGATTTTCACAGGGCCAGAGGTGCTGAGTTCACAGTCTGGTTAAGGCTTCTTAAGTCTCCTTTATCAAAAGGAAACTAGTGTTTAAAAAGGCCAATAAAACATCAAAGCCAACATCATACAATCTCCCATTTAAACTCCTTGCAAACTACTGAGCTATTATTTCAACATTAAAACAAATTTTTGTCTACTAAACGTGAAGAAATTGAGAGAAAATGTCAAACACATACATTATTCAGGCTTTAAATGGGCTTTCTGGAAGGATCTATAAGAAAGTTAACAATAGTTGCTTTGGAAATAAGGAGCTGAAAATGATCAATAAACAAAAGGGGAAATTTTGCTTTTACTTTATACTATTCTGTATTGTTTGAATTTGTCATGAGCATATTATATGATTTAAAAAAATAAGAATTTTATAATCTTTAAGACTTTCTGGCTCGGCACCTGTGGCTCAAGTGGCTAAGGCGCCAGCCACATACACCCAAGGTGGCAGGTTCAAATCCAGCCCGAACCCGCCAAACAACAATGATGGCTGCAACCAAAAAATAGCCTGGCATTGTGGCGGGCGCCTGTGGTCCCAGCTACTTGGGAG